CCAAGGAGGTGGTTGCTTGATGTTCGTCCAAGTCTACACCGTACGCCCATCCAAAATGAAAGCCCAAGCTTAGGTTCGGAGCTGTTGAAGTGCCGACCCCATGCGGAGGGCTCTTAGAAATATTCTTAGCTCCGTTTTCTGATCCCCTGCTAAAAGTCTAAAACATTTAGTGGGTTAAATGGAAACCCAACCACTAAACCAGCGCGAAAAAAAAAAAGAAAAAATGACCGGACGATTCGCACCGCCAAGTCAGGTTCTGAGAACCTTTCTTGGGGATGTGGGCCCGAAGGTCTCTACAAAAAGGAAACCCGAAGACAGGAATGCAGGTGCAATCCACCGGTAGCCGACCTTCACGGGCCTTCATGGCCTCGCAAAAACACACACCCACATTTCCCCGGTATTCACATTCCGAAACGTGTTGAGTTGGGGTGCAATTCTTGGGGCCACAGCGTTACGCTTCTGCGTTAGATAATTACTGCAAACATAGGAATCGTAAACCTCTGGTTGACGTAGATAGAGTGGCAACGCGTTCTGGACGTACATAATACCTTTGTTTGTGATCCCACAACCACCCATGATACACCATGTGTTTTGGACTTTGCGCCGGATCCAAATCGCTTGTTTGGGGGAACAACGCTTAGCTTGGCCCACATCTCGGGTGCACAGGAATTCATATGTTCAGGATCTGCTCCACATTTTGTCAACCCAAAAATCTAAGATACCAAGTGCTTCCATTTCCCTACATAAGAAGTAATCCGATAGAATCCCGATTGAAACACCAAACCGGCTGGGAAAGCGGCCAGTGACCTCTGGACCTATGCCTTGCCGATCCCATCCGGCTCGCCGGTTCAGGCCCCGACTCTCCAGGCCTTCCGGACTGGCATCCGCTGCCACCTCGCGCAACTGACGGAACTTATGGGCCAAACAGAAAGCAAAACCGGTCAAAGGAAGGCCACCATAGGGCTACCTTCCATTTCCATGGCATCCTTCTTTCTAAAAAACCACCCAAAACCCTGGGGAAACAGCGATCGGTGTTTGAAAAGAGCAATGCTTAAAAAGAATGGAAAAGGAATCAAGCCCTAGAATAGCTCCCAATTTGGACACGTCTTTGTCAAGGCACCAACCTGGGAGCCGCAAAGGCTCAGCGACGTGTGTTCTTTTCGGAGGGTTATCTGAGGAACCCATCCCAAAAGTCGGAGCCGGGTGTGGCTTCTCTCAACTTTCTGTGCCCCTGGTCAATTGATTGACATTTCCAGGCGCCACGGAAACATGATCTAACTATGAGGTTACCAAACATAGTTATTTCCCCTGACACAAGAACAACACAACAAATAGTCACTCAGAAGCAGTCTAAGCTTGGCTCAACCCTGCCACAAACTTCTAGATTGTCATCTTTCTTTGTCAATGCGTGCCCTTGTTTGCCCTCATCTGGCTAATGATTCCCCCTAAGGCGTTTTCAACCCCAACCTCGGGTAGTGTTGTTTTCCCTTTTTTTTCCCGGGGGCGTGTGCAGTGCCAATCGTAGGGCCCTGGCCTTCAAGGATGCGCACTATGGATTCTGTGAAACCATATCTAACAATATGACAAAGAGCAAAATGTACTTGGATTACAAACTCATGCTCAATGTAACCCGACAAAGGCCTTCGAAACCCTTGCAACAGATCTTCATTCAGCTCTGAGGTGCCACCCAAAAAAACAAGTATCCTACATGCCAGTCTCATCTGCCGTGGCACGATGCCTGCGAAAGGGAGGTTGCCCTCTTTCCTCAAAGTCAGGGCCCGTGAACCCAAAAAACCGGCCTGGGGGGGTGCTCCCCAAGCAAACCTCGAGGTCTTACTAAGGTTTCACCCACTTTTCAACAATCAGACGCACTTCCTGAGTGGATGGTCTTCAAAAAGTCTAAACTTTTTGATGGTCTTCAAAAAGTGACTAAAGTCCATGAACTTAGGAAGTGAGTGGAAGTTGAAAACTCCCATGTTGGACCACGGGTAGCAATTCCACACCCGGTATAAGACAACATGGGGCTCCCCAACCTGCTTGCCACCGTCACCAAAAGCACCCCACTGGCCGTTGATTTACTTGCAAGCAGTGGGAAAAGAACAGGGCTTGGCCTTGCAACGTGAAAAAGATGAAAGAAACAACTGGTGCCAGGGTGAACGAATTCCTGCTTTTCGATGACTTGAACCCCTCGCCACAAGCCCGAAGAAAGAAGTGCAGCTTGTCCTTAGCCAGCAATTTCCACAAAGCTGTTTCTCGGCCTGACATTTCCATTTTAATTCCCATCGTGCAAACGAACCAAGCACCAAACCCTGAAAGGCCAAGGCGGTAGCCAAGGCTTCCATCCAGCTGAACTGAGCCCAAGATGTAGCCGTTACCTCGGAACCCTCCAAGCGAAACCCGGAACTGAAAGTGAAAGCCAAACGCCACAGGGCAGCATCGCTGTCTCAAGCGTCCGAGACACGACTGATTGAGTTTACAAAAGGATCGCGGGATGTGTCAAAATTTAGGTGACACAAACATGGGTTCCTTCCTTCTTTCTGGTTTGACGTAAATCTTATTTGGCCTAAATGTTGCACTTCCCCAGCTCTCGAGCTCGCGCGCGCGCTCTGGCTCAAGCTCGCCTGCCCCAGTGTCCAGCTCAAAGCAGAAACTAGGCCTCCGATGAGCCGAACGCACGGGCCCGCCCGATTTTTGTTAACAGCCCGTGGAAAGCAACATTTAGTTGGGTGTGGCTTTGTTTAGGAATCGGAACCCTCAAACATATGTCCTTTAAGGTTTCCCCTTAAAACCGCACAAAGGTAACCCATACGAGCCAAAGACAAAGACAATTACATTCTGTCATATATAATTGTACATATACATATATATATATATGGTACGCCCCCCCCTCCTGGTGCCTAGATTTTGCTTGATTTCAGTCATTTTTCAAAAAAATGCATTTGTTTGGCCAAACTTGGGCACCAAGGAAGGGGTGTGTGCCGCAATTCTACAATTAAGAATTCTGGACCCAAGGTTGCTGGGAGACATTCAATGTGACAATCTGGAATTCAAGATTCAATATGTCAAAGCAATCTTTTCTGGAAATCTGGAATATTGAATATTGCATCCCATAAAAAAAATGGAATTCAAGATTCAAGATGTCAAAAGAATATTTTTCTGGGAATCTTGAATCGTAAATCTCATATTTCTAAAACCTTTTAAACACCTGGGATTCAAGATTCAAGATGTCAAAATAATATTTTTCTGGGAATCTTGAATCTTGAATCTCTATTTCTTTTTTAAACTGGGTTTCAAGAATCAAGATTTCAAAATAATATTTTCTGGGAACCTTGAATCTTGAATCCCATATAGTTGAAATATTGAAAAACCAAACTGGGATTCGAGATTCAAGATTCCAGATTTCAAAATAATCTGTTTCTGGGAATGTTGAATCTTGAATCTCATGTATTAAACAAAAAGAAACAGTATGGGATCCAAGATTCAAAACTCGAGATTTTAAAATCATATTTTTCTGAGAATCTTGAATCTTGAATCCCAGTTCTTTTTTCCCAATCTCGGTGTTCAATAAGATTCTCGGAAAAGCTTTCTGTAAAATATGTCAATCTCGAATTTTCAATCCAGTAGCAAAATACGTTCGAAATTTCAGAACAACTTGATCATTTTTTAGGGTTTGAGCAGGATGGATGTTTCCGAGGAAAGTTGTTTTTTGTGCAATGCTTGATATTGAATCCTCAATCCAGTGGAAAAGCACTTTCAATTGCGAGAAGAACTTGAATGTTGTTTGGGCTTGGCCAGGATTGACAATTCTCAGGAAAGTGTTCTTTGTAATAATCAATCTTGTTTTTTCCATCCACTGGTAAAATACGTTCAAGTGCTTAGAGATCCAGTGGAACCACTTTCAAGCTATTAGTTAGACAAACTTTCAAGTGCTTTTGGTGAGCGGTTTGCTTCATGTTAGCTATGAAGCATGTTGACCCTTTTACAGGAGGCAAACAAAGGTGGGTGTAATGCTCAAAAACACTGTATTGTACAGTATTTTATGAAGAGGCGCAGGATGATTAGGGGTACTATATATATAGATATATGTGTATGTATGTATATATATATATATACATGTATGTATGTTCACACAACGTCATCTCCCCCCTCTTGAACTACCTCTCCACATTTGCTCATCTACTACCTCTGCCTTTTGAGATAGAACGAATTTTGTTTTCCTGTGCAAATAGAACTGTACAAACAATTGATTCAGCTAGAATCCCTGTTTTGAAATAGTTTTAGAATTTGAACCTCTCCTCCTTTGAAATGTCCTTTTGGAACACTGTCTAACAAGCTTAATTTCGGACCTTTCTTATGCTGCAAACGGGCCAGGATATAAATAACACAAATCGTATTTCGATTTTCCTTGGTGGAGGCCCTTTAAGTGTTTAGCCATATTTAATCAATATGAACTAAATTTGAGAAGTAGTCTCTATTTTGTTATTGTGAAAAACTATTTGAGTTGTTTTTGTATGATTACAGCCAACACTTAGAGTATATTTGGGAATACACTCCTACCTTCTTTTGTTGAAAATTAGTTGGAGTTTGCCCGAAGCTATACTTATATTCTCATGTAGCTCCTATTTGGAAAGGATTTGCTTATATATAAGATGTAGCTGAGCAATGTTGAGCATAAACACATTTTTGAAAACTATATCCTAAGTAAATTTTATTCAAAATTCCAATTCTAGTTGAAGAAAAAACCCTATTTGCAAAGGGCATCATATTGGGACATTTCGGATTTTGCTATGATGGACTGCAAGCCCATTCGTCTGTGCGCTTAAAATATATTGCAACAAACCTAAACTCTACAGCCTGCGCGCTGAAATCAAGCAAAACTTAGGCACCAGAGGGGGGGGGGGGGCGTTGCATATATATATATATATACATATATATATATATATACATTTAAAACATATATATATATATAATATTAGTGGCATTCTGCAACCTTCTGCCGACCCTTCCCTGCCGCAAAGCTTCCGCATGAACCGTTGCTTCCGCCGGCATGCGTCTGTCGCAACTGCTTCCGCGAGCTTCCGCGGGCATGTTTCCGTTGCTTGCGAATGCAGCGGTTTTGCTGATGTTGCCACTTTGAACAACTGAGCAGAACTTGCGGACTTAAACAAACCCGGGATGAAGACCAAAGCGTTTGGCATCTTCTCCGCGCTGTGACTTCAGATACAGCTTGTCGTCTGCCGCACGTAGGTAACTGTTCCACGTGTCGATGGTAGACTTTGCCACTATACACGGAACTTTGCTGCAGCCACTGAGCAACAAACATCTTTAATTTGAATCCAGCAAACTGCAAGCACCAGGCACCAGCTTCTTTTTATTCTACCCTCGATTCATTTTTGGGGTGCCATGATCCATTTGAAAAAAAAAGGTCACTTATAGTCCTAAATCAAGGAGGCCACTTAAGCTGTTTAAAGAGCACTTAGACCCTTCAAGGGTTACCCTCCCCAGCAGATCCCCCCCCAGTCTGGGCAAATCGACAAGTGAATGCGAATCACACTCACCCGGGGGGGGGGGGGGCGATGCTAGCCCGCAGTCCTGTCAAACCAGCAACACTCACACGCGGGGGCACCGACACCAGCGTCAGTGACCATTTCAAGGGGTAAGTGACCTCAATTCGCACCCCCGCTCCCACTAACGCGCCCCAAAATGCCAGGTTCAGGCCATTCCGGGTCGGTCTCAATCAAATGTGGCAATTGTCACACTTCGACACGCGTAGCTGTTCGATTTCGGCAGGATCTCAAGCAAAAAAGGGCACTCAAGAACACGTCAAGCGCCCTTGGTTGAAGGGCACTAAACATATGCTGGCAGGTTGACATTGCTGCGCAAAGCTCACTGGCTGATTCGCTCGCTGGGATTGCATTCATGCGCAACCCCATGCTCCCAGCAGTTTGTGCAACCAGTGCCTCTGCAGCGCTGGCTTGAGCCCATGAGGCCACGTCAGCAATGCATTGCCGATGCCTGCTGCCCATGCCTACTGCCTGTGTTAGATGGACACGGCTGCTGAGTGCAGAGCTCCGAGCTGCTGAACCACTTGGCGAGCGCTGGAATCTGCACAATCTGAGGATTCCACATCAGACCCGATGCAGCAGTCTGGGCACACATGGCAGACTTGGGCAACCGCAGCTGTGCAAAGTAGGGGTCTGGTTGGTGCATAGCTCGATGGAATCTGATCAAAGTCTTTACATCCAATGTTATGCAGCTGCAGCGCCCTGCGCTCCGGAAAAGTTTAGCATGGTAAAGGCTGAATGGATGTTGACCGTCAAGGAATACAAATGGATGGAAAGTGTGTCGGTGCGATCACTGGTCACAAAGTGCGGAGTTGGAGCCAGTGCATATTCTTGCCGCACCGGGCAGAAACGCAACGCGCTTGTGCAGTGGTGTAGAACTGGAGAAGGTGTTCCTCCTGAGCCTCTTGGAACATCGGACCCTAGCGCAAGTACTGCAGGACTCATGCGTTCGAAGATCTTGCATGCCGCTCAGGGTCTGGATGGCAGGGGGAAGGCCCCTCAAAGGCTGCAGCTGCATCTGACGCAAGGTCAAGAAAGCGGACAGGTGGCCAAAGAAGGGTAAGTACGTTGCGCCACGCCGCTGCTGACCTGGCAAATCCACTTGGCGTGGGGCTGTCACCGCTGAAGCAGTCAGCGCACTCCAAGCGTCCTCGAAAAACAAGCCACGCGAGCTCAGCAAGGAGACTTCACAAGTTCGGCCTGCCGTGCCTGACAGCCAGTTGCCAGGAAGCACAGATTGGGATCTGGCAACACCGCTCGGCCATGCAACACTGGACATCTGCATGGCTTCAAAAGACTCCAAGTCGCACCCCCAAACTGCTCCGATTTCCACACTGCCCCACGCAAAGCTCTCAATGTAAGCAACACTAAAGTCCGATCCAGATTGACATGTGATTCTAGATGCATGATAAGGGCACGCAAAACATCAAGGGGCCCCATCCACCATGCTTTAATGTGCCTTCAGGACAAAGAAGGATGAGCACTTTGCAGAGTCATAGCACCTCCTGTAGCCATCTGCAGTTGGCGCCACGAGCTGGTGACTTCACACAGGCTACTCTTGAGGCTGAAGGCCTTTGGCATGGAGGCTGCCGGCTATAGCTCTGGAGTCCGATCTAGACTGTGATGCGGGGAGTGTGGAGAACAAACAACATCAATGGACCCCAAAAACTGCTCCCTGTCCACCATGTTTCTACTGTCTCTTCAGGCATATGCTGGAGTACGATTGCCCCCGCCGCGTACAGCCCGGAGTCCCATCCACACTATTCCAAACTTGTGCTGGTGTGTTCCTGTTGCATGGAAACACATGTGTGAAGCAACGAGTCAAAGTGTTCTCGGTAGACTTAGGCACCGGACAGGGAACTTTGGCGCAGCCAACGGCCAACACACATCTTCTGTCGAACTTGGGCTCTAAGGGTCTGCAAGCTAAATTTGACACTAACTTCACGGCTTGCTAGAAAATTGGCGTGGGCGAGGATCACGGGGGTTGGAAGAATTACTGGCCTGGACAAACTAAATTGCTGGAATCCGCAAAAAACAGTTAAATGGACCCATGCGGATGCGCAAGGGTCAGGACAAGCGCTGAAGCATTCTGAGTATCTCCAGGCTACCTGGCACACCTGGAGCGACTTGCCGCTTGATGCAAGTTGCAGCAGCACTTTGGTCCCAGAAAACTCCGATCCACACTTGCCACAGGTTTCACAGCTTATTTCAGGAAGATTGGCACGGCTTCAGCCTGGTCTGTGAAGAGGGGGTTGCCGGGAACTTTTACTCAATAGGATTTGAAAGCAAGCATCTTTACATCAACATTACGTAGCGAGTGCAAAGCCGCCCCTGCCCCACCGCCACCACTTGTGCGAGGCTCAGCAAGGTGTGTCAATGTAGCAATGGCCAGGACAAGGGCTGAAACTTTCCAAGTAACTCTTGACTACTTAGTCATGGATGGCACACTCGTGCAACTTGGCTGCAGGCACCAAGTCAGGTGCTGTTCATTTGCTTGACAGCTCGTCGTGGAAAAACCTGGCTGCAGACGTGGCCGCCAAGCAGAGCCGGCTGCGCGGTGCAAGGAATGCCTCTGCACCGCTACCGCTCGCTGAAGCTCAGGCCATGTCAGCAATGCCCGCACCTGCAGACCAAACCATACCAAACACACTGGCGCCACAGACCAGTGAATATATTCGGCAGCACTCAAGGTTCACAGCTTGTTTCAAAAAGAATGGCATGGCTTCAGACTGAGTTGCTGTGCAACGCAGGAAAAGCTACGGTTGTTTGTTTGAATGGCATCCGAGCGAAGCAAGATGTTGCTGAATCTTAACCTCAAACACGCAGCAAGCGCAGAGCTCCCCTTGGGCCCCAGCGCCAACAGTCCAGCAGCATCGACAGCTTGAGCTCAGTTAAAAGGTAGAGCGCGTCAGGGCAAGGGCGAAAACAAACCCAAGTGATCCTGGAGAAAATGGGCATATGATGGGCTGGTCCAACTACTAGACTGCCAGCACCGAATGCTAGAGTACTGACCTCTGGCCATTTGCTGGCCCGGCGCTTTAGACATGGCTGCCGAGCGTAGCTGCTTGGGCAAGTTTCGCTTGAATCTGGTCAATGCAAGTTGTTCACATCCAACCTGGTAAAAGCAAGGTCTCTACATCCAACCAAAACCAGCCCGAGCGCTGACCAGCACCGCTTGTGCTCATCAAGGCATGTGAGCAATGCAATCATCACACTTGTGACTGAAACCATTCCAGCTGTTCGCCGCATTGAAGCTTCCGGAGCCATGACCGTCCTCTCGGGTTTGTGCACAGCAATACCGCCCTGTTCTCTGGAGTTTTCTACTGGAACCGAAAAAATCGCAAGGTGATGTGGGTAGCGCGCCTCCGTAGAGAAGGCGTTGCCTGTTAGAGGGTTAGTGACAAACTCCCTTCTGAAGACCTGGCAAATGCTTTTACGAAGGCAAAACCGCTTCGGTGGTTTTTTCTTAGAGGCTCTCAGAAAAGTCCTCTGAAAACTCCAGCCACGCCGACTCAATGGGTCTTGCTCCGATTTCCAGGGCAGAGGGAATTGTGGAACAGGAATCTGACTGGTGCGAAGGTCCTAGACGTATTGATGACTTGGATGTTCGGGATGACTTCCCAAAATCAAACGCTCTGCAGGTCGAGTTGCGCTTGCCCCAAGCCTCAAAGCTTCGTTGCCGATTGACTGGGCTGGTGCAAAGCAGTGACGCGCACATGGCTCGGTGGGACCTGGTCAAAGCCAGGTCTTTACATCCAACACCGACGAATAGCGGCGTTGGCTGCGTGCGCTCATCAAGGCACGTCAGCACTGCAGCAATCATCACAGCCGTGACTCGAACCATTCCAACTGTTCACCGCATCGTTCAAGGTTGCAAAGCCATGACCCTGTGAGCTTGGGCTGCGCCACAATATCGCCCTGTTTGCTGGAGCTTTCAAAGCACAATCGGGAATCATCGAACCTGACTAGTACGAAGGCCCTGAATCACGTTGATGACTTGGCTATGACTTCGGAAAAAAATGCCGCAAAGTCGAACAATCTGCAGGTTGAGTTACACTTGCACCAAGCTTCACAGCTTGGCTTGGGCAAATTGACTTGGCTGTTGCAGAGCCGTGATGCCACGCGCATGGCTCAATGGGACCTGGTCAAAGCCAAATGTTTACATCACACACCAACCTCTAGCGGCGCAGGCTCGTGCTGCAAAAGGCAAGTCAGCAAAACAGCACTCATCACAGCTGTGACTGAAACCATTCCAACTGTTCAAACTAGACAATCGTTGAAGGTTCCAAAACCATGATTCTGTGCGCAGACAATACCGCCGTGTTCGCTGAAGCTTTCAAACACACAATCGAGAATCATCGAACAGGGATCTGACTGGCACGAAGGTCCTGAACATGTTGATGGCTTGGCTATGACTTCGGAAACGATTGCCACAACATCAGGCAAACAAGAGTTGTTCATCTTCAGCAGTGGTTTGGTTCGAAGCCAGCGATCTGCGCGCCATCAGCGATCGGCGTTCTGAAGAGCACCTCCTTTGGCAGTGTCACGAAGGATGATTGAAGCAATGCCAACTGCACGTTTTGGCCGGTCCAAGAAAGACGGAGCGCAAGGATCTGCTGGGCAATTGCCACACAGCTCATGTCCGTCACACCAATTGACGTAGCGCCGGCATGTCAGTACAAGGACATGCGTTGCAGGCGCCTGAGCGTGCTATCCTGGTATTTGGACAAAGGCACCATTCGACACAGAGGGCATGGCTTGCAAAAAAAGGCAACCTAAACTGGTGGCAAAGCTGTAAAGGCCTGAGCGACGGAACGACAAGACTAGGCCCGCACAAAAAAACCCATCATTTGGCTCTTGCTTGGCCTGAATTCGCCTTAGCTGTATGAGCAAAGGCTTGTTGAGACAAGTTGAGACCAAACCACGTGAAAATTGGTCTTCGTTGATTGCTTTTTGGAAGTGGGAAAAGCGGTCGTTTGGGGACGGGTTGGTGGGGTCTATACGTTACAACTCAGTGCAGTTCCAAACCTCCCTGTAGTTTTATTTGCCTGCAACAACTGTGCGGGTCGAAGAATAGGGCACCAACAAATAGAGGTTTCCTTTGGTTGTCATAAAGCAAACAGGGCACCCTCAAAAAAAAGACACACCCAGTTGCCACTAAACTTCCTCAACATCACCTACATGGAGCCGCCGACGTCCCACTGCGACCCCGCCCGGGCGTAAAACGAGTGGCAGCCAGAGCCTGGCCTTTGAAATGAAACCACGAGGGGTTGTTTGAGCGGTTCGAACCTTTTTCAGCAAAGGGTGGCCCAACCTAGATGCTCATGGACCTCCAACGTGCTCTATCCCCAAGCCTCCAGGAGCCAAGGAGTGAGTGTGTGAGTGCGTGGGTAAGTGGCTGAGTGAGTGCGTGGCTGTAAGTGGGTGAGTGAGTGAGTGGCCGGGTGGGCGAATGGGTGGGTGAGCGAGTGAGTGAGTCAGGTGAGTGAGGAGAGTGAGGCGAGTGAGGAAGTGATGAGGTGAGTAAGGTGAGTAAGGTGAGTGAGGTGGGTGGGTGGGTGGGTGGGTGGGTGGGTGGGTGGGTGGGTGGGTGGGTGGGTGGGTGGGTGGGTGGGTGGGTGGGTGGGTGGGTGAGTGAGTGAGTGAGTGAGTGAGTGAGGGAGGGAGTGAGTGAGTGAGTGAAGGAGTGAGTGAGGGAGTGAGTGAGTGAGTGAGTGAGTGCATGAGTGAGGGAGTGAGTGAGGGAGTGAGTGAGTGAGTGAGTGCGTGAGTCCGAACCTTCGTGCGTGAGTGAGTGAGAGTGAGACATCATACTTCAATCTTCAAGCCGAAATGTAGTGGGCAAAATGCAGTCGGGTTGGCTGCTTTCAGGTTTCTATGGCTTACCCTGGTAACAAAAGTGGCTGGATGCAGTGGGCCTAAAGCCTCACCCTAACACAGTTTAAGTCACTTTCCCTTTTGGGACGACTGACATAAAAGGTTCACTTTGGACGACTGACAACCTGCGGACATGAAAGAAGTCCGGGACGAAGACCAAAGACTTGGCAAACCTTTTCCGGACTGTAACCACTCCAAGCGCTGATTGCAGGAACTCCCGCCCCGATCTGGAATTCTGGAATGGCGCGTGGATGCATGGGGAGCTCCACGTAATGGACTCCAGAAACAGTCCACCATGCTTCCACTGTCACTGGCCAACAAACATCTTCGGTAGATGTTTGGCTCCAGCTAAATGCAAGCAGGTTGACGTTGCTTCGCAGAGCTGACGGCTGGCTGAGCTCGCGGGGATCTCAAAAAAGCATCCAGGCGTATTCATGCGCAACCCCATGAAGCAACAATCCTTGCTGGAATGTGGACAAGTCTTCGAATTCCACATCAGACCCGATGCAGCAGTCTGCACAACATGGCATGGGCAACGGCAGCTGTGCAGAGTCGGGGTCTGGTGCTAGCTCGATGGGATCTGATCAAAGAGCTGCAGCACCCTGGGTGAACTCCAAACAAGTTTACCAAAATGGTAAGCGCTGCAGCTTGGATGTTGACCGTCATGGAACACGTTTTTGGCTGCGAAGTGTGTGAGGTACGATCACAGTAATGTGATCACATACAAGGCCTCTGGAGTCGCCTGTGCAGTCTTAGCGGTCGTAGGGTGCATGGCAGAGCTGGATCGAGTAAGATTGCTGCCAAGTGGAAAAAATGCAGAATCTTGTGGAGCCATGAGGACCTTGGCGCCGCTTGCCACATGCGCTTCCGACGTTTGGATCCAACAAACTGGCCTTTGCTGAGCATGCCCAAGGTTCCAAGCTAGTTTCGTGAAGATTAGCATGGTTGTTTGTAGTCGGACATCGCTGCGCAAAGGTTCGCTCATTGGCAATTAGCTCGCCCATACCTGGCGCCCTGGCGCAAAGACGTCATGCCGAGCATAGCCTTGCTGGCAGCCAGTTTTGCACTCAAGATCAAGTGGAGATAGTTTTCCTCCTGAGTCTCTTGGAACGTCCGGCCCTAGCACAGGTACTGCAGGAGCCATGCGTTCGAAGATCTTGCATGCCGCTTAGGGTCCGGAAGGCAGTGGGAAGGCCCCTCAAAGGCTGCAGCTGCATCTGACGCAATGTCAAGAAAGCGCACAGGTGGCCAACAAAGGACAAGTACGTCGAGCCAGGCCGCTGCTGACCTGGCAAATCCATTTGGCGTGGGGCTGTCACCGAGGAAGCAGTCAGCGCACTCCAAGCGTTGCCAGCTGGCTACGCGAGCGCGGCAAGGAGACTTCGCACAAGTTCGGAGGCCAGAACGGCTTGCCGTGCCTGCAAGCCAGTTGCAAGGGATCTGCCAACACAGCTCGGCCATGCAACACTGGACATCTGTGGCTTGGGGTCAGAAGACTCCACGTCGCAGCCCCAAACTGCTCTACCGACCTCACGCATCTTCCACACTGCCCCGGGCAAAGCTCTCGATGTAAGCAGCGCTGAAGTCCGATCCAGGTTCACATGTGAGCCATGTCCTAAACGCGTCATGATTTGCTATGGCGTGCAGTTTTTGCTTTCGCCAACAGCTTATGTCACCATACGCGCGTGAAGCTTGTGCAAAAGCGCGACACATGTCGCGGGGTTCTCCTATATTCTTTTGCCCGGGATTGGGCCCTTGGGAGGCACTTGCGCGGACTTGCCCGCGCGCAGCAAGGCAGAAACTAGTCTTAGTTGACCTCGGTTTGCCAAGTTTTAGTGTGGTTTCTGCGAGCCAAGAAGCAAAGGAATTCGAAGGGTATTCAGGGCTCAGGGTGTTCAGGCCATGTCCAAGGAAAGCGTATGTTGCAGATGCAGTTCCATTGCTTGAACCGCGCTGCTAAGGATATCTGAGGCAGCAAACGGGTAGCCTTGCTGGGGCTTCTCCTTGCGCGCAACGTGCGCGCAGCTTGCGCGCAGCTTGCGCGCTGCATGACGTGTCAGCCGCTGCTTTCTAATTTCTGGCGTGTCAAGCAAAAGTACAGAGCTATCACTTATTTCATGAAGCTAGGCGACATCAGTGCCTGAAAGCCTCTAAAACTGTTCTGTTTGCGCGCGCACAGCTTCTGACAACTTTTACTTCTCCGGGTTCGGCGGGAATCAAAACCGAAGACTGGGGTTTTAGGACGACCTTTTATGTGGAAGTTGTGCTTACACCACCAGCATATGCCACCTCACGCACGTGGAATTTTTGCTGACGCACAGGTCGATATGACGGGACTCTGACCAAATACGCACCCCGAGGTTTTGGTCGCTGCTCATGTGATTCTAGATTCATGATAAGGGCACGCAAAACATCAAGGGGCTCCGGTAAAAGTTCGCCATCCACCATGTCTTAATGTGCCTTCAGGACGCAGAAGGACGAGCACTTTGCAGAGTCACACCACTTCCCGTGGCCAGCTGCAGGACTGCCGGGGAAACAGCCAACGCACATAGCTGAACTCCAGCCGACACGCCGGCGCCCTGAGACCCGCAAGTCAGGCTCTGCAGGCCAGGGCCTTACGCCGGCATTGCCCACACAGCTTGGCCGACATCTCATAGACATCTGACTTTGGCGAGCCTCTCGAGCCGAGGAACCCGAAAATCACAGCTGGTTTCCAGATTGGCTTGGCTTCCAACGCGCGGCTACCACACTGCTCCGGGCAAAAGTCACGAAGCCCGTGTCGGCGATGCATCTGGAGTCCGATCTAGACTGTGATGCGGGGAACATGGAGAACAAACAACATCAACGGACTCCAAAAACTGCCCATCCAACATGTTTCTACTGTCTCTTCAGGCATATGCTGGAGTACGATTGCGTCCGTCGCGTACAGCCCGGAGTCCCATCCAAACTATTCCAAACTTGTGCTGGTTTGTTCCTGTTGCATGGAAAAACATGTGTGAAGCAACGATTCAAAGTGTTCTCGGTAGACTTAGGCACCGGACAGGGAACTTTGGCGCCAACGGCCAACACACATCTTCTGTCGAACTTCAGCTCTAAGGGTCTGCAAGCGAAATTTGACACTCACTTCACGGCTTGCTAGAAAATCGGCGTGGGCGAGGATCACGGGGGTTGGAAAAATTACTGGCCTGGACAAACTAAATTGCTGGAATCCGCAAAAACCAATTAAATGGACCCATGCGGATGCGCAAGGGTCAGGACAAGGGCTGAAGAATTCTGAGTATCTCCGGGCTACCTGGCACACCTGGAGCGACTTGCCGCTTGATGCAAGTTGCAGCAGAACTTTGGTCCCAGAAAGCTCCAATCCACACTTGCCACAAGTTTCACAGCTTATTTCAGGAAGATTGGCACGGCTTCAGACTAGTCTGTGAAGAGGGGGTTGCCGGGAACATTCGCTCGATAGGATTTGAAAGCAAGAATATTTACATCAACATTACGTAGCGAGTGCAAAGCCGCCCCTGCCCCACCGCCACCAACACTTGAGCGAGGCTCAGCAAGGCGTCTCAATGCTGCAATTTTCCAAGTAGCTCTGGACTACTTGGGCATGGATGGCACGCTCGTGCAACTTGGCTGCCGGCACCAAGCCAGGTGCTTTCCAAACGCTTGACAGCTCGTCATGCAAAAGAATGGCTTCAAACGTGGCCGGCTGTGGGGCCCAACGAATGCCTCTGCACTGCTACCGCTCGCTGAAGCTCAGGCCATGTCAGCAACACCTACAGCCCAAGCCATACCAAACATTCTGGTGCCACAGACCAGAGAACAAATTCGGCACTCAAGGTTCAGCATGGCTTCAGACTGAGTTGCTGTGCAACGCAGAGAAAGCTACAGTTGCTGGGCACGTTTGTTTGAATAGGATCCGAGCAAAGCAAGATGTTACTGAATCTTGACCTCAAACACGCAGCAAGCGCGGAGCCCCCCTTGGCCCCCAGCGCCAACAGTCTTGCAGCATCAAC